TAGTGATACTGCCTTGGAAACCCAAGGAGGGGTCGCTATGAGTCAGATCAGACCGGATGGCACATCACAACAACAACAAATCTTTATGGAAGTAGATTGCACCATCTTCCTTCTGTAGAGGAGCTGATGGGTTTGAGGTTAGCAGTCAAAGCCCATAGCTCTGTGCCACCAGAGCTCCTTCAGTGTTCCTTAGGGATTCCATATATATGCAGTGATTAGATTTCTCACTCTCTCTCTCTCTTTTTTTTTTTTCTCAAAGGGGAAAAATTTCTGTTCTTAAGTTTTGCAAATGGAATTATGAGAAGGGGGTTTATTTTGGTGAGAGAGAGGAAGAGGTTACAACATAAGTTCATAATTGAGACATTTGTGGATCACTGATCATTGCCTAGCATAGTGCCTAAGGCACTTGACTGCTAACCAGAAGGCTGGCGGTTCAAACCCACAAGCCAATCCTCGGAAGGAAGGTTGGGCAATCTACTGCTATAGTGATACTGCCTCGGAAACCCAAGGGGGGGGTCGCTATGAGTCAGGTCCGACTCGACAGCACATAACAACAACAACAACAATCATTGCCTATACTTATGCTTGACAATAATAATATAGCATATGGATGTCCTTCCAGGTCCATACTGTGCCATTTTTGTTAGTCATGATATCTTCATCTATAGCCTGACTTTAATGAAATCTTTGTGTATACATGCAAGAAATTCAATGGCATTTTGACAGTATTAAGTACTATGAAAAGAATAATGCATTCGACATTTTAATAAAATGAATAAACAGTAAAAAAAAAAATTTAAATGATAATTTTTCTATTTCCTCTACAATATCTGCCTTTCGTTGGTTCCATTTCCAAATAGAATTAATAGATTTTCAGTAACTGTTTTATGGTAATGCTGTTTTGTGTTTACAAGTCAACTTACATGATGCATTAGCACACATCCAAACTGTATAGCACTTACAGTATTTTGAAATAGCTATTATTTATTCACTTAAAATTTTTTTAAGTCACTTGCTCAACTTTAAGTTAGGTATTTTTGTCATTATTATTATTGAAAAAGTAATATATGCCCATGTTATTAATCATGAAAAACACAAAGGGCATACAATGCAAAGAAAATCACCTTTCTGCTGCAAACCCATGGGTCATCCAAATAATTCCTTGTGTACTCCAGAATGATGTTATACATACTAAATCATACATCACTTACTAAAAATATTGCACTAGTTTATATTGTTTTGAAAAAGTGGAAGCATAAAATATATATTGCTTTGCACCTAGTTTTCTTCTCTTAGAAATTAGTTACCTAACTTACCAGCACATATATTATTTCCTTCCCCTTCTTGGTGCATTGTAACCATCACATGGCTGTACCCATAACTGACTGAACAGTGTCCTAGGGATGAGTAATAGTTTTCCATTCTTTTGCCGTAAAAATATTGGTATAAGGAACATCCTTGCTGACAGCATCCTTGCTGGTCTTTGCATGCATGGAGGAATGCATCTAAAGATCCAGTCTTAAAGTGAAATTTCTGAATCATAGAGATGCGTATTTCAAATTCTTGATAGATGTAACTATCCTGTTATCTAATAAACCTTTCCCAATTGATGAGATTAAAAAAATTCTAATTTTGGTCATTTACATTATGGCCATCTTTTTAGCAATCTTTTATTGCAGTAACACTAATGAAAATATCCATATTTATATAACTCAGGGTTTCTCAACAAATACTAGGAAGTAAATTAATCAAGATTGTTTTTGTTTCCCTTCACCCCTAAGTGTCATATCACATCAAAAAATATACCCATATATAGTTGAGCTAGGAGCTCTGGTGGCACTGTGGTTAAGCACTGGCTGCTAAACAAAAGGTTGGGGGTTTGAACCCACCAGCCACTTCCCAGGAGAAAGATGAAGCAGTCTGCTTCAGTAAAAACTTACAAACTTGGAAACTCTAAGGACAGTTGTAGTGTGTCCTACAATGTTGCTATGAGTCGAAATAAACTAGATTGCAATGGATTTTCTGCTTCAGTTGAGCTGAATTGCAGTTGACAATATGTTTTGCGCACACACATTTGAAAACATTAATTAAATTATTAAATATGTATTAATTTCTAGTAGTGTTTTGGACTCCATAATATTTTTCCAGGCATAAAAATTTTGTAGGTTTTTTTAAAACTCACAGGCCCTAGGCACTGCTCCTCTAGTGCTTCATGGGTAAGTTTCTCAGAAGCTAATTTCAAAAGCAA